AGATGATTGCTCCTGGAAGTTTTCATGAAGGGGATTCCTGGGATGGAGGTCCTGACAGCAGGTTCCAGCCTCTAACTAACGTGGTCTCTGACGTGGCTTGCAGGGGCTGCTGCCCTGCGTGCCCAGCCAGGGGCTCTTCCCTCGTGTGACCAGCTGCTCCGAACCAGGCTCTGCTTGTGGAATTGCACCTCGCTCCGCCCCAGGTGGGTGTCTGCCTCTTGCAGCCAGGAAAAAAGTCTTGGCGTGAAAGGTCTAAAGGTCTGGTCCCTTCTGTGCGGGTTCATATATCTGCTCCTAGTCGTATGGGCCTTTGATGTCCACTACTGCAAACAGAGCTGCCAGCTTCAGCGAGACTCCCTGCAAAGGAGAGGGAGAGGTGGGATGAATGGGAACACACACAAAACATTTTGCAGCCTGGTTAGAAAAGAAGACTGTGCATCTCTGCTCAACTTCTCCTTGGCAACATTTGCTTCAGAGCAGATTCTAGGTTGTAAAAAGAGGAAAGAGTTGCCTTGCTCAGCTTAGCCACTTCCAAACTGCAACCTCAGGCCTCGCTGAGAAGGAATTTAAGAGGTAAGTTATTGAAGTTCAGGCGTTGCTTGGAGAGGTGCCCTTGGGAACATGTGCTGTGCAAGCCCAAAGAGGGCAGTGTGTGCATATAAAACTAGTAGTATCAATATATTCTAGTACAATAACATTATCCACAGCAAAAATCACTGATAACTTTGATTATAGCTTATCTCAGTCACGTGAATGCCCTGGGGAGACTAAGATTTTTTACATTACTACTTGGAATTTTAATTATTATTTGGAAAGTACCTGGTATCTTATATTCTTTGGCCTGGTGTTTTGTGGCTTGTGCTGCTGTAGATATTAAATAGGCTCTAATAAGTCATCCTTACACAAAGCACAAAATGAACATTCCCTCAAAATATTTCTTTAAAAATAAATTCCATAAGAACGCTCTAGCACAATACTTGAAGCTGACTTCTGCTTCTCAAAAGTTTTGGAAACCATTGCTTTGGTCTTCCTCTAAAGATCGCTTTGATTTCTTCAGCTGCAACTGTTTTTCTCTGTAATTAGCCCTTCCTCACTGCTTGGGTGGGAATTGCCCTCCAGACCAACCTGGGCAGGTTCCTCTCAACATTTCTCTCTTCTGCACAGCCTCCAGTTTCCTCTTCGTTCGTTCCTGGCTGTGAGCCCCGGGGGGACAGCACAGCCAAGGCCAAAGTGCGCCAGGCGTCAAGGAGCCAGCGAGGATTATCCTGCAGCCACTGGCCCAGCTTTTCTCCCAAGGGCCCTGACCGGCACCAGAAGATGCTTGTGGGACTGGTCCCCCCGGCTCTCAGGTCTCAAGCTCTAGGTGCTCCTTGCAGCAAAGGGAAGAGAGAAACCAGCCACATTTAGGGTATAGGAGATTGGTACAGGCAGAAGATTAGTATAAAGCTGCTCCTTCCCCTCCCTGCCCTGTGTTAGATTTGGATATAGCGTGAGTCTATGTGCCTAAGTGCCACTTTGGGTTCCAGTCAAAACCAGTATGTTCGGAAATCTGTGGGAAAAAGTAGGTGCTTGGAGTTAGGGCTTTCAGACTTACTCTAAGGCAAACCTCAGAGCTGCAGGTCTTGGAGCACTTTGTGCAAACCACGATCCAAGGGCACCTCGCTGTCGAGCACGTTCCTGCCTTTGCTTCCCGGCCTGGCAGCAGCTCCTCTGGCCTGAGAGGTTTCTGACCGGGTTCACACAGACTGAATCTTTCCTGGCTGCTGCTTCAGTGTGGTCACATGGAACATGTGAACTCTGTGGAAGATTCTTTGGAAGAGGCTTTCTTATGGCTGCTTCCCTTGCAGTTTTGTAGGGAATTGAAGAGTTGTCCTGTCATCTCTTTCTGTGGAGCGGAATCTGCACTTCTGCCATCTGAATCCTTCCCACAAGAGGCACAGGGGATTTGTTTCTTCTCTTCAAAGTCTGGGAGAGAATGTGATTCCATCCCGTGTTCCCCTTCCATGGCCGAGCGCAGGCGCTGGCTGCGCTGCACCGGTCACGCCTGGCCCGCGAGCGCCGCGCGCTGCTGCGAGCCGGGGCGCTGGAGCCCGCACGTGCGTGTGCCCTGACCCGCTACCCAGAGCTCTAACCCTGCTGGGCTGGCGCGCAGGAGCTGGACCCTGAGCCCCGGTAATGAGGAGGGACAAGGGGGGACTGCAGGGCTGCAGCTGCTGCTCTGTCTCCTTGGAGCCGCGGAGCGGGCAGCAGGCCGGGAGCTCCAGCCCCGCAGAGCCGCGTGCGCCCCGAGCTCTGCGGCCAGCAGCGCCTGCCCTGGACCCTGCTGGGGCGCGCGGGGAAGCGAAAGCGCCTGCCTGGGACAAAGCAGAAGAGCCTCAGGGCCATGTTTGTAAGAGCTTCAGTTTGTAGCTTGCCTGAGATTCCACTTCCCTCCCTCCTCAGGGTGGAGGTTGTGGTGTGAGAGGTGTCGGATGAGGAAGTGAGAGGCTGTTTTGTTTTTCTGGTGGTTTTTTTGTGAGCGGAGGGCAGGGTCTGTGGCGCTGCTGTGTTGCCTGAGGAGCCCCTGCCTACGCAGAGGGAGGGTGCCCGTGTCCTCGGGAGGGAAGTGCTGCCCTGCGGGGCCGTGGACAAGCGCTCGTGCGGGAAGAAGGTTTCTAGCGAGTTACGGAGCGGGACCGGGAAGCACGCGCCAGGCAACACATGAGCAGCGTGGCTGGCGGCCCTGGGCCAGGAGAGGCGCTGGCTGTTCTGGAACGTTCTTCTCCCAGCCTCGTCTTTGTGCAGCTTAGCTCCACTCCTGCATTTTTGCCCTGTTTATCCTCAGCATCTTTAGTGAGGACTGATTTGGCTACATGCACTTTTACAGCACCTAGCACAGGGAGAGGCTTTGTCATAGGGCTCTTGACCACTGTTGTACTATGCAGTGCTGAAACATTTTTGAGTTTTGTGGGCTGCTGTGATCGAACACCTACATCTTTCACTCGTTTCTACCATAACCAGGCACAGAAATCTCTTGAATCTTTGCGTGTGATTTATTTCCTGAAATGCTGAAATTACTCTTTTCTATCGGGTTTGTGTTTCAGTAATGTAGTGATGGGGTTTTATCACAAAACTGTAGCATGGGGACAGGAGCAAGTCTCCTAGTTGTGTTTGATTTATTGCTACAGATTTACTTTATCCTTTTATGGGTTAGCAGAGATCTGAGATAAATTTCTGTATTGAATTAGTGCCTTACAGCCCAGTCAAATACCAAGACCTTGCTGTGCTAGGTGCTGTACAAATGCTGTGTTAATTCATAGAACCATAAAATCCTAAAGGTTTGAAGGGACCTCTAGAGATCATCTAGTCCAACCCCCTGCACACGCAGGGTCACCTAGAGCACGTGGCACAGGGCTGCGTCAACAACCTCTCTGGGCAGCCTGTTCCAGGGCTCTGGCACCCTCACTGTTAAGAAGTTTTTCCTTAAGTTCCTGTGGAACTTTTGGTGTTTCAGTTTCCAGCCATTTCCTCTAGTTCTGTCAGTGGCCACCAGTGAAAAGAGGCCGCCCCATCCTCCTCACTGCCTCCCTTGAGGTACTTCTAGACACTGCTCAGGTCCCCTCTCAGCCTTCTCTTCTCCAGCTGAACAGGCCCAGCTCCCTCAGCCTCTCCTCATAGGGCAGATGTTCCAGGCCCCTGATCATCCTTGTAGCCCTGCGCTGGACTCTCTCCAGCAGCTCCACATCCCTCTTGTCCTGTGGAGCCCGAAACTGGACACAATACTCCAGATGCGTCCTCAGCAGGGCTGAGCAGAGAGGCAGGATCACCTCCCTCGACCTGCTGGAGACCCCAGGATGCCATTGGCCTTCTTGGCCACGAGGGCACACTGCTGCCTCATGGTCACCTTGTTGTCCATCACGGCACCCAGGTCCCTCTCTGCAGAGCTGCTCTCCACAAGGTCAGTCCCCAGCCTGTGCTGGTGTCTGGGGTTATTCCTCCCCAGGTGCAGGACCTTGCAGTTGTCCAGTCTGTCCAGGTCCCTCCGGATGGCAGTGCAGCCCTCTGGAGTATCAGCGCTCCTCCCAGTAATTGTCATCTCGGTTACAGTGAGGACCAGTGCTCTGGCTGCACCTGTGACTTCAACCAAGACCTTAGTTCTTGAGCCAGTTGTGTAGTCTGGGTTGTAACTGAGGATTGGAGGATGTTGTGTTTTGGAACAGCCTGGTTGCATCCACAGCATCCTCTGCAAGGTGCAGTTCTCTCTGCTCACTCACGCTGCAGCCCGTGGCAGAAAGATGGGTTCCTGCCAGGCAGGGGCCAGTTACGGTCATTCCCAGATTTGCCCGAGCCCTGCACACGGGGTGGGTAGTGAGGAGGCTGTTGCTGACCTGGGAACCAGACTTCTTGCCTGGTTTAGGTGGGACAGAAAATGGAAGAGAAAAACCAGATTCCCAGAAGGAAAAAGACTTTCAAATACAGATGCCATTTATTTATTTATTTATTTATTTATTCTTACAACACTGGAACTACAGCAAAAGAGGAGGAACCAAGGAAGCAAGTCTCAGAGGTAGCAGGAGACAGCAGCAGAATTAAACAGAGGGTAGAAGTGTCTTCCCTCGAGATGGGGGCAGCCCTACGTCCTCAGGGCTTGAGCAAAGTAGACACAGGCATGTGGGGCTCATCTAGTCTCATCCAGCTGTGCCACTTCCCTCAAGGGAGCAGGAACCCCAATGGCTTGGCTGGCTGCAGATGACTTTCCAGAGCGGTGCTGACAGCAGCATGACAAGGGGCCTTGGGAGCAGCGCCGTATGGGCACGTGCTGGGGAAAGGCAGGGAACAAATGCAATCAAGGTGCCAGCCCTGCGCTAAGCCCTCTGCTGCCACAGCTTTGTCATGGCCTTGCTGTGTTCCCTAGGATCGCTGAAAGACGTTTCCCAGGCAGAAAGAGGGGGAAAGCAAGTGAGAGTGGAGCCCAGAAACATGAGCTTTCTAGAACAGCAGCTGTGGAGAGAGTATATTCATTATGACTTCATGACACTGTCAATCCATGAGATGTAGGGAGAAATGGATGTATAGTAACTATACCACTCATTATATGTATAGGAGAAGATGCCATAGGCTTTGTTCTTGCAGACAAGTGGCCCCCCAATATCTCCCTGCAAGAGACAAACAAGAGAAGAGATCAGAGTTGGTTATAGGGCATCCCCAGGAGAGGGGGATCCAGAGGCTGCGGGCATGGGGGATGTGTGTGCCAGGACAGAGCTTCTGCGAAAGAGGAGCTTGGACTTGCCTTGCATGGGAGTAGCTCTGGGTCCGAAAAGGGACCATAGATAATTCTGCTTGGGGACCTGTGTGGGGACCAATGCAGCTACAGGTAAGGAGGGGCTGAGCCTTACAACTCATTTCTACTCTTCTGCTGGCTGCACAACACTGAAATGTACCCGGACCTGCTCTGAGGTTTAGGGCAAACCCCTTGGCAGCCAAACTACCCCTGCGCTGCTGCAGACCGAGGCACTCGGCCGTGAGGAGTCAGCAGTTGGCCCTCGTCTCCGTTAAGGATATGAGCAGGTGCTCGCTGTCTGCAGCAGCACTGCTGGCCCTGCAAGGGGCTGGTCCTTGGAGATGGAGGCCCAGGGCACCACTTCATCTCCTAAGGCAGAGCAGCAAGATACTGAGGAAGCGGGGGCTGATGGAAGGGCTGTGAGTGGACAGCAGTAAGAAATTTTGCATGGTGTATTTTTGGCGAAGTATCTTAGTGCAAATCAGATTCAAGCCCAGGATCTGCCTGCAGCCTTCCCCACAGCTATTTCTTCCCTGTGTCAGACACGGACCTTTCTGAGAGCTCCAGGGAATACGCTGCGGGTACAGATTGAGTTGATAGGAAATCCAGGGTATATGTTTAGGCACTCCCTTGATCTGAGAATGGTGACCTTGGTTTCATGGAGCATAGCAGCAGGCGTCTCGTAGCCCCAGCCAGCTACGGTGCATTCAGGCTGTCCAATGTTGTTTTGTTTTTGCAAGGAGATGGTCTTAACGTAGTTATTGCTGGTGGCATTGCCTTTCAGCTGGGCAAGGGGACAGAAAATACAGGAAAAAAGTGTTTGGTCTTTAAATATTCTGTGATGAAAGCTGTCCCCTCCAGGTGCAGTGCCACAGCTCAGCCCTGCACACCCACAAGTGTGGGCATATGGGACTGGGCGGGTGCTCCAGGTGAGCAGTTACCTTTTTTTTTTTTTTAATTATGAGCAATTCTGTAGGCTGGGTGGCGGTGATACTTTTGGACTTCAAATGTTTGCCATCTTTCCTCTTTCTTCTGGATGTTCTGTGCTCCAAGGATGACAGTCAGAGGTTTGTGGCTGGTAAAAATCAAACACGGTGTCTCTCATTTGACTCTGTTTGTTTTCCTGCTGTCTGCCCTGGTGATGGAGAGGCACATTTCTCCGGGGTGTAGCTCGGGATGCAGACTGGGCTTTAAGCAAGAGTGATGACAGCAAGGAGCCCTGCCAGGGATGCTACACAACCAAGAGGCAATGTGAAATACCAGGTTACTCTAGCACTTCAGCTGCAGTTAGGAGCCAGCTGAGCTGATTTGGTCCAAGGCTGCTGCTATGTAAGGACATATATTAATGCAGGCAGAAGTCACAGGCCTGGGGAAATCGATGGCACCAAGCAGGGATTTCTGCATTGGGACACTGCTCTGTGCTAATGTCCTGGTATTTTTCCTAGCCTCTGCGTCATCTGCAGAAGAGACTGCCTGCTTTGGCCAGAATGGAAGGGTACAGAGTGCACAATAGTCAGGACAGAAGTGATCCCAGCTCTGTTTCTGGCTCTTCTGCTGACTCTCCTTTCCACCCTCTAGACAGGGCAGCTGGCTCTGAGCCCAGCTACAGGCGTGGGGCCCGTAGCTGGTCAGCCCCGAGATGTCTCGGAGCTGTACCCAGAGCTCACACCTATCCAGCAAAGCCGCTCTCCTGGCCATGCCTCAGTTTTTCGAACCAAAGGGATAGAAGAGAGTGGGACAGGCAACTCCCTCAAAACAGATTATTAATTCTGGCAACAATCTTGCAAGCCTTTGGGGGTAGAATGGGCAAAGCCAGTAAACCCCACTGCTCCAGCATGTTTGTAGCAGCAGCTGCTAAACTTCTGACAGTGGATGCCTGGGAAGAGTCAGATGGATGTGAAGAAAACCTGTCAAGGAGCTGAACTTTCCCTGAGCATGACCTGGAGAACAGTATGGGGATGGATGGCAGAGGGGAGAGCTGTGGACAGACCCCTGCTGCTTTGATGACAGTCCCTGTTGCCTGGCCCCATCCCAGCAGGGCTGGAGAAGGAGCTCGAGAGCAGCCCCACAAGGAAGCGACTCAGCCTGTTAGACCTCTGTCTGGGCAGTGTTATCTGGATCATGGCAGGACAGCAATGTCTTTGCGCCAGGTGCTGCACAAAAGGAGCACAAACTTACTTGAAACACTGAGCTGCTGTCATCACCCAGTTTGGGGCCACCAGGAAGCCTCCGCAGAAGTGGTTGTTCTTTCCCTGCAGATAGGCCATGTAGGGTTTGGAGAGGGCCTTGGCTTCAGCTCCTCCTTCAATCCGATTCCAGAAATAATCTGCAACACAGCAAAGCGAGGATGAGCGGAGTGGGGGGTGCAAGATGCGCTGGTCGGGACTCTTCCTTCCCCAGCCCTTGCACCACCTTAGGACTGGTTCTACTTACAAGCAATTTCCGGAGGGAACATCACCAGCAGCAGGGAGAGCAGGAGCTTCTGCTGATGCTTCATCATAGCAGTCTTGGCTTCAGTAGATCTTTTGGAGGCTGGCTTGCAACTGGGGTCTCTTCTTGTTCCCAGGAACGTTTTATAGCCTTAAACTAGACTCCAGGAAACCGCAGAGGTTGGGCTCATCTGATTAATCTGTCTGCAAACTGCGTACCTCAGCAATCTGGAGGGGAATTCAGTCAGCATTAGCCTTGGGCATCAACCCACCTTTATCTTGGATATGGCTTGTAGTATCTGATATCCTTCTAAGCCTGGAACCAGTTTTATCCATTGCCTTTTAGCTGGAGCTGTAGGGAGTATGTTCAGCCCAAAGCTTTGCCCTCCAAGGTGTCCTTTTCTTGCAGCCTGTTTTTGTTGTTGCAAGCTTCTGAATGCCCTTGATGTTTATCGTGAGCCTTGCAAAACCATGACTTTTTTTTTTGTGTGTGTGTGCAATGGCAATTGAGGACTCTCCTGCTCTTTCTATCTTGCTAGGGGCCCTAGATCATAGAGCAGTCCTTGCACAGTGGATGTGTGTGTAATTGTAATACGGTGTTGGTCGTAGCTTTGCGAGGGCAAGAACTCCCAGGTCAGCTCCATACGCATGGCTCTGTTGGACTGCAGCAGCATGTCTGTGCTGTAGTCGCTCTGTGGTTTGTGTTCGGTGCCACCTGGCAGCTTGGTACTTGGATTTGTGCAGCAAAAGGCATCACTTTTGTATGCTTCTTTCCAACTGTGATTGCTGCTGATAAACAGGGGAGTTCCCAAAGTTTCCAGCCCCTTTTACCAGCAAGTGTGAGAGAGGACAGGACACTTTCCTGCCCTCAGGCAGGACTGCCCCTGGGGTTTGTTGTGGCAGATGGAGGTGAGGGAGGCGGGTTTGGGGTCTTGCCTCTCACCACCCAGTGGCAGATGGGGCCCTGTCCCTCCTGGGCAGGGTTGTCGCCAAGCTGTGATTTGCAAAGGCCAAACTGGTGCCAAGAGCCTCTCTGCAAGGCTCCGTCTCCCCTGGCCGCATCCTGTCCCGCTCTGCCCGCTCGCAGCAGGAGGAGGCTGCGCGTCCCCCCTGCCAGCGGCCGCTGCGGAGCATGGGCACGTCTGGGCCTTCTCCCCACCAACCCGTCCTTCCTTCATCTGGTGATGAAATGGGGCTGATGCATGTTGCCCTGTCCGCCTGCTGCTAAATTTGCCTTTCTTCCTGTCCCCAGTGCCCCAGGAAAAACCCATTTTTAAGCTAGAAACTGGCATTATCGTGCGAAGACTGCAGCAGCTGGAGCTTCAAGGAAAACCCTGACGTGAGAAAGATTTGTACTAGGCAGATAAGCAGCTGTAGTCTTTTCACTCACAGATTTCCTAGCTGATAGCTGCAGTTAGCAGAAGCCCAAACCATGGACTCTTTTTGGTTTCCCCAGATGTCGTGGGCTCTGGGGCTAAGGCGACGTAGTTGGTCCCAGGAAGTGACAGGGAGAACATGAGAGCTGTCATCCTGGTCAGACCTCAGGCCTCTCTCGGCCAGCTCCTCCCTCCAACAGAGGCAACTACTGGGAAGCCCAGGGAGAACCATGGGAACAGGGCGGCTGTCTCGGTCCCTCTCGTTGGACCTGGTTTCTGTATTTCTGAAGCTCTCCGCTGGATTTCCCCTCCACAGACCCGTCCCGTCTGCCCTTGAACCTGCGCAGACTTCCAGCATCCTGCGCCGTGAGCAGCCGCCGTGGCTCCCCGTCCCAACCCTCCCGCCCAGCTCCCGGGGACCCTGAGCAAGGAGGAGACGGATGCTCCGTGGTGTGCAGCACTTTGTTTACTGTGGGTGTCGCATGCGTGAGAAGGCCTAAGCAGGGACAAGGGGCATGTGCCAAGGAAGCAGGGGCCCGGGGGCTCACTCTCCTCCTGGGGCCACCTGGGCCGTCACTGTCTTGGGGTGACTGAGTGGGCAGGGGCACAGGCATGCAGTGGTGCCAGAGCCGCTGTTCCTGGCCTGGTGAAAAAGGGGGTCCATGTGTCTGGCCACACGGGCGCTGGGTGACGTGGGGAGTGAAGCCTTCAGCAAGGGCAGGAGGGAAGGTGGCTCCAGGGTGGCACTAATGCTTGAGCGAGTCCTGCTGCTGCTGCTACTTCTTCATGATTTTCCTGATCCAGGGCAGGTAATTGGCCACGCGGGTGTAGACCCCAGGAGGGGTATTATGCCCAAAAGAAACGATGCCCTCAGCCACGTTGTTGCACACCAGAGGTCCCCCAGAATCTCCCTATGGAGAAATGAGAGGGAATGTCGAGGCCTCTTCCGCCTGGGAAGTGGCTACCAGGGCTGCTGCCTGCCCATACCCCATTCTGGCTCCTACCTGGCTGGAGTCTTTGAGCTCATGGAAGCTGCCAGCACAGATCATGCCGTTGGTGAGCTCTGGATAGAAGTGAGTGCATTTCCTGCGGCTGTAGATGGACACTTCGGTCTCAAAGAGACGGTCGGTGTCCTGGTCCTTGTCAATGAGACCCCAGCCAGCCACAGTGCACCCAGTGCCCGTTTGGAGGTCGCTGCCGGTCTTGGGTAGTGCCACGGTCTTGACGTACTTGCTAAGCCTGGCCTTGGCTGTGAGCTGCAGAGAGAGGCGTTGGGAGAAAGCCGCGCGCAGGGGAGCGCCTGGACGCTCCTCGCGCAGGGCCCGGTGGCCTCCAGCGAGCTGCCGTGGCCACCGCAGCCCCGGCCGCCTCCCCGGAGGCCCCTCAGTCCCACCCTGCCTGTGCCTGCCTTGCCTTGAGGAGCATGATGTCGTTGTTGAAAGTGTCGGGGTTGTAGTCAGGGTGCAGGTAGTAACTGAGAACTCCCCGAATCTGCTGGCTTGTCTCTATCTCATGGACGTTGTGAGCCCCCAGGATGACTGTGATGTTCCTGACCAGGGCAGCAAAGGGGTACAGGGTCTTACCTGCTTCCCGCCCCAATCTTGGGCAAGCGGCAAGAGCTGCTTGGTGGAGGAAGAAGAGGACCCCATTCTGGCCCAGTGTTGGATCTCACTGGCAGGGAGAGCACAGGGATAAACCCTCTGTGCGAAGCACTCACCCCAGCGCGCAGTGCGCAGCTGTCATCACCCAGGACGGGTCCACCAGGAAGCCCCCGCAGGCATACGGTGCAATCTTCAGGTACGCCATGTAGGGGCGGGAGTGGGGCCGTGCCTCGTGGCCCCCCACGATCCAGCCCCGCAAGGCACCTGCGGGACACCCGCGGCTGCGTGAGCCCTGCGGGACACCCGCGGCTGCGGGAGCCAGCGCTGCTCGGGGCGCAGCGAGGCTGGTGGCCTCGTCCTGCCCGCAGCCCCTGCTCACCAGCTCCAGCCCACGGGCAGGAGAGCAGGAGCAGCAGTGTCCGCAGGGGCAGCAGCGTCTGGGGCTGGTGCATCTCTGCCCTGGCTGATGTCTCCTCCCAAGCTTCGTGGAATGCTGCGGCCCCCAGTGCCCACGAGCTGTTATTATACCCTGTGACCAGTGCACCCAGCAGCCCGGAAACCATGTGCAATGTCCTGATTGTGCTAATCAGAGCAGCGCAGCGTCCCCACGAGTCTATCTGCACCTCCTCTGTCCTGCCCCCACAAGCCCCATGTGCTCTGAGGCCGTGAGGTCTCCTGCACCGCGGTTGTGGTGCTGCATGGCGTGTAATTTTCAGGATGAGATTTGCCATTTCTCCTCGCTCGGCTGCGGGTGCAAGGGATGGCGTTCACGTACCGCAGGGCCAACAGTGCTGGTGCGCGGGAGTCAGCGACGCGCTGCAGACCCGCCGCGCTGGGTGCTGCCCGCAGCAGGCGGGTGCTCTTCCTGCAGCAGCTCCTGCAGACCAGCCGAGCCCCCAGACCTGGCAAGGGGACGTGTTGCGTCCCTGCAAGGGCCAGTAGCACCGCAAGAGCGTGGAACGCGGCAGCGAGACACGGGGTCACGGCCGCAGCATTCGTGTGCAGGGTCAGCGCCACCAGAGCACCCATGAGCGAGGTGCTGGAAACACTTGGTGCCCTTCGCTCGGGATGAGCTGTGAGGCCAGAGCTCAGCCCTTTGTCTTTCAGGTTACACTCTGTTTTGCAGGGGATGCTTTCTGCAGGTATTTGGTTCCGTTTAAGGGTTTTGCGTTAGGCAAATGCGAAGTTCTCATTGCAAAGCCATTCAAAGAAAAAACATCAACAACACTTTGCCATTTAAGGTCAATAATATTGTCAGAAGCAGAGACTGAGGCTTTCCTGTTGTGGTCTCTCTCCAAATCCAGAGATTTGCTGCAGCGGCTGCTCCCCACAGAGATGTCCCAGTTCAGTGATGCTGCTACGCTGGGATGCTGCTCCAGGCATGGAGAGAGCCCTTGCTGGCTGCTCCCGGCTCCTGGACCAGGAGCGCTGTGCTGCTCCAGGGACCAGGACGCACCATGGGGAGGTGACGTTGCCACTGTATGCGTCCCGCTTTGAGCCAGGAAACGCAACTGGCAGGTGCCACCCATGGTTTCTAAACCAGCACAACTCCACCCTTCCTGGGGCAGAAAAACACCTGCCAAGCGCGAGGCCTGGGCTGGGGCCCCTCTCCGCGTCCCAGCCGGGACCATCAGACCTGCTACGAGGCTGCTGGGCTGCGCTACCCACCGAGCTGCGCCTGGCTCGCTTTGCTAATCAGAATTTCGGAAAATACAAGTTTTAATCAGGATCGCACAGCAGCAGAGCAGGAAAACCTCAACTGAAGTCGTTGATAATTTATCTTGCGTTTGTAGTTTGCTCTTTTTCTCCCTTGGCTGCTCAGAGTTCAGACACATCAGCTGCTCTGTCACCATATCTTTGCAGCATGCTGTTTGCCTTCATTAACTGCACCATTCTGTTTTGCATCCCAACACTTGGCTGTCAAACATGCATTCTCATCTCCTTGCCATGATCCCTTTCTTTGTTGCATGAAGTTTAGATTGGACAGAAATTAACACGGCAGAAGGCCTTGTTTTTAAAAATTATTTGTTGGGTAAATAAAACCGCATCTGACGTGCTGGGAACACAAGTAGCTTGCATTTGAGGTAACAGGCTAAACCTCACTCTGGATCTAGACCAGAGGCGAAACTTATAAAGAGGTTCTGACAGGAGTTAGGGGGGGTTTTGTGAAGGACAAATCCACTGATGGCCATTAGCTGCATTGCTGCAGACACAAACCCTGAGGAGCGCCCAATGCAGACAGCGAGGGATGCTCCATCCTTAGCCTGTTTCCCATGTCATTCCCTCAGAGATTCCTCACCAGTCCTGTCCTCCGCTTTGCAGAGCAGAGAGCTGGAGGCCCAGGCTGAAGCAGGAATTAACAAGGGACGATGTGCGGGACCTGCTCTGGCACGGTCTTACCAGGAGGGCTTCATGCCACAGGTGCAATTTTGTACTCCTCCCCTGGGCATCACGTCATGCTCATGGCTCTGTCTCCTTGCTCATTTCTGTTCCTACAATCTTGGGGTTTGCTACTGACTTTATGAGCTTCAGTTTTTTTCCCATCTGCTGATAGAAAAGCCCAAAACACCACTTGAGAGGGTGGAATGGGAAGGATGGAGCTTTTGACAAGGGCTTTGCTCTTGTTTCCTTCTGCAACATGGACCCGTCTCACATCTTCTGCTTGTATATTCCATGATGTCTCTTGGACCCCTCAATCCATCAAGCAGTGGCTGACTCACAGAATTGCTCCTTATTTCCTGGACCACCAGGGGAAATCTGCTCTTTGCTCTGAGCCTGGGGACTTCTCCATGCCTTTGTGTCAGTCTGGAGAGAGAGTGGAGGTGAAAGCAGAAAGCTTGGGGTGGCTCCTGCTGTGATCCGGAGTTAAAAGGTGCTTGCCCTTTCTTTTCTCTATGCCCTTTCACAGCTGTTTTGGGTGGGACCATCTTGCAGAGAAATGTGGTGTTGTAACTTCCCCCTTTTTTGTGTGTGTGTGTTTTGTTAGGTAGAAATCTCACTTATTTGGCACAAGGGGCCCTCCCTGCTACCTAGTCTGCGCTGGGCCTTGGACAAGCAGCTGATGAGCACTGCTACCTGCTGAGCCTTCCTCCCACACGAGAGCCTCGCGCCGGCCAGGGCAGGTGAGTCCCAAGGCAAATCCAACAGCCGGGATGGGAATAGCCTGCTGCAAAGATTGCTCCCCAGTCAGGGCGTGCAGGCATAGGGAGCAGGTCAATAATGGATATTAACACTGTGCTTGTGTCAAGGCTCTGGACTAAGGTCCCAAGGTAGCCCCATCTGCAGCACTGGGCAAGACGCATCAGCTCCGTGCCTCCATTTCCCTGCCTGGGACCTATGCGGTGGGAAGACCCTGAGCCCTCTCTGGCAAGTCGTTGGAGAGCTCAGGGCAGAGAGGAAGGGTCAGGGCACATGCAGCCATCTGAGCAACAAATTTCCTGCAAGACAGGAGGAACTGAACCATGATTTGAGACATGCAGGTGCCCAGATTCACTGTATTGGCAGGGCAGGGCTTGGATGGACGTGTCCCAAGAGACAGGTTGGAGCTAGGCCCATAGAGGAGGCAGAGCCAGAAGCTGCCTGCTGGAGAAGGTGCATGGGTGGTGCACAGGGCAACAGATTAAGTGACAGTTGCTCTCTGCAAGGCTCAGGAATTAATTTAATACACAAAGGGCCAAGCACTCACTGCCTTAGGCTCTCTTGGTGCTGCTGCTAGCACTTAGCCTTCATCGGCTCAGCAGCTCCTGCCCATTAAGATGAGAAGCATTAGCCCATTCTACCCATCCTACCTCAGCTTAAAGTGGGACGTGAAATGTTGCCTCATTCTTGTACCATCTTCACAACCAAAGCTGAGAATAGCCAGCTCCTTCCTGAGAAATGATAACTGTCTGAAACCCTGTCAATAATCTAGTTAACAGGAAACTTAAACAACAGGAAGCCCATGCTTGCGCATGGACTTACAAAACACCTCACCCTCCTCTCCACATGCTCTTTCAGCGCCCCAGGGCTGGCACATGGGGCTCTGACTCTCATCTCCACTCTGCACAGGACTGCTGGTCTTGGAGCTGGTCCCTTCTGGGGCCCTTCAGCTACCTCCAGCCTCGGAAAAAGAAGCCATTCCCCTCCCAACCGCAGCACTTGCTCCATCGTGCACCCTGTGGCTGCTGACCCAGGCTCGGAAGATGGATGGTCTGGGGCTGAGCTGGCTGGTGAATCACTCCCATCCCCTTCACCTCGGCGCTGCTCAATACCCTGAGCTCAGTGTTGACCTGCTCAGTGGCAAAGGAGCCTGCCTGCAGCTGGCTGCCATGAGGAATGTGAACATCATCCTGCAGCACTACAACTTTACAGGAAAGCTGATCAACCGCAAGTCCCAGGATGAAGGCCTGAGCCCCACGCACACAGCGTTTGTCATCTTCAGCTGCATCATTATCCTGGAGAACTTGCTGGTCCTGCTGGCTGTCCTGTGGTGTCTGCGCGCCCGCCGTTGGGTCTATTCCTGCATTGCCAGCATCACTGTGAGTGACCTGTTGGCCGGCATTGCCTACCTCTCCAATCTGTGCCTCTCAGGCAAGAAGACCTTCCAGCTCTCTCCCCAGCTCTGGTTCCTGCGGGAGGGTGTCCTCTTCGTTGCGCTGGCCGCCTCCACCTTCAGTCTGCTGGTGACTGCCATTGAGCGCTACAGTGCCATGGTAAGGCCCATTGCTGAGAACGAGGCCAGCAAGACCCTGCGCCTGCGCAGCCTCATTGTCTCCTGCTGGTTGCTGGCCTTGGTCATTGGGCTGCTGCCCCTGCTGGGCTGGAATTGTCTGTGCGACTTTAACACCTGCTCCGTCCTCCTGCCTCTGTATTCCAAGAACTACATCCTTTTCTCTGTGGTCATGTTCAGCATCATCCTTCTAGGGATCGTTGGCCTCTACATCTCCATCTATCAGCTGGTCCAGGCGAGCTCCAAGCAAACCAGTTCTCGGCACAGCCGCAAACGGTCCCTACGCTTGCTCAAGACTGTACTGATGATCCTGGGCGCCTTCATCATTTGCTGGAGCCCCCTCTTTGCCCTTTTGCTCTTTGACGCTTTCTGTGAGACCCAGACCTGCAGACACCTCCACAGCCTGGACTGGACCTTGGCTCTGGCCATGGTCAACTCCGGCATTAACCCCATCATTTACTCCCTTCGGAGCGTGGAAGTGCGCCGTGCTGTGGGAAGCCTGCTGTGCTGCTGCTGTGTCCGGGCTGGGCTTTGCAAGCAGGGGAGCTGCGTGGCCCTCACAGACATCAACTCTGGCTCATCCACAGAGAGCTCCTTGCGCTACCGGGAGAGCTTTCGCAGCTCCGTAGCCCTGAGCACTCGGCCCAGGGCCCCCCTCTCCAGCAACTCCAGCATGATGAGCAACCTGCCCAGCCTCTGAGAGGCTGTGGGGCGAGCAGGGGAGGACTTGGCAGCCTGCTTGGACCTTGTGCTGCGAGTCCAACCTGCCAGAGCCGGGGCCTTAGGTTCAGCTCAGACTGAGAGGGTATAACCCCACCCCGGGCATTAACTGTGGTCAGGCTTTCCAGTATTGTGGATTGGGATGTTGCTTTGATGTGCATGCGGCAAGGGGAAAGGCACTGCTGCCAGCACTGGGGTGGGAATAGGGGGCATAGTTGCCATGCCCAAGGTTATAAGGGGGCCCTGGTGCATGTGTGTGTGTGTGTATGTGTACAAAGATGCTGTGCCTCTCCTTGACAGGGTCCCGTGAGGGAGAGCGGGGGACCCTCACCAAGGCCATCTCCAGCCCCTGGGGTTGGGCTGGCAGAGTGGCACTGTGCAGCCTGGAGGCAAACGCCAGGATTTCTGCTGCTGCCTGCAGCCCGCTGGAACTGCTGTGGTGGGCACAGATGCAGGGAAAGGAGGTGGAGGGATGCCTTGCCAGGCAGTTGGAAATAAGCGGTTTTGAAGTGAAACTGCTGGCCAGGAGGCAAGTGCTCACCTGCAGCACAGCTCCACCAGTGCTGGGCTGAAGCGACACTCTGGCCTCTTACCGCAGCCCTGAGCCTTGGCACTGGGGCTGGGCCAAGGCTGTGGCCACACTTGCAGCCTGGCAAGGGAGTCCACGCAGCCCTGCTGTGTCTCCAGGCACAGGGCTGCACCTGCAGGGCAGTGACAGCAGGCACATGGAGGAGCCCGCAGCAACCCAGGACTCTGGTGCCCTCACGTGTGGCAGGGCCATCCTCCCTGTGTGGCCAAGCTTCGCAGGCGACAGGCACCTGCAGAGCTCAGGGCTGCCCTGCTCAAGGCAAAGCAGTCAGGGTCCAGTCCCAGCACCGAGCAGATGTCACTGCGGTGAGGGCAGCACTGGGAAGCTGCGCAGAGCGTCCAGGCCCCTTGGTACCCGCTGTCTCCACCCAGGTTTGGATCATACCTGAGCGGAAGTAGCAGAGATTGTTTCCTCTTCCTTTCTGGACCACAAAAGCTGTCTTCTTCCAGAAATCTTTTTTTGCAAACAGGGTTTTGCAACAGACCATTTACAAGAATCAGTGCAACAGCCTGGAACTGTCATCAGAGCGGGGGGAGCCGGCCCAAGCCCTTCTGCGCTCCGATGGTGGGCCTGCCTGGCAGCTCCACGCGTGGCTGTGGCCAGGACACAAGTGGGCAGGGAGATGTCCCAAGGCTCCCACCCGTGACACCCTGGACAGCACCAGGAAAAGGAGAGCAGCCCCGCACCACCGCCCCAGGGCTGCTGGTGCTCCTGAGCAGGAGGGAGCCGCGGCC